TCCCAAAAATGACTAATGTAAAAGAGCATCAATAAAATGATTTTTTAAGAAAAGAGAAAGAGGGAGATTCAATGGAGGTGTGTTATGGTCCCCAGCTCCTGAGGACACCAGAAGATTTACCCAGCCTCCTCAAAAGCAGGGACTGTCTTTTATCTTTCTTTGTATTTCCACCACTTAACACAGTCCCTGGTACATAGCACGTATTTGATAATTGTTTATTTACTAAGTGTTTACTGACTGACTGACTTCTCTATTCTTCTTTCCCTTTGTTCTCTGACAACTCCATTCTAATAAAGCTACTCTGCTTACTCTCCTCTGACCAATCTGTGCCTTTGTTCACTCCACTGCCCCAGCCTGAAATGTCCTCCCTACTCTTCTATCCAAATCTTACCTACCTGCTCCCACCTCCTCCATGAAGCCTTTTCCATCAACCTCAGGCCACACTGATCTCTCTTTTCCTCTGATGCTCATTGAGGGTAGTGTCCATTTGGTATTTAATCAGGTGGCACCTTGTATTTTTGCTTAACTAGACTGAGTTCATGAGGTCAGAGAGGGCTGCTTCTTCTCATCCACAAACACCTTGGACAGGGCAGCAGATGTAAAGGGCCTTCAATGTTCATCAATCAGCATATACTTAGTACTTACTGTAGGGGGGAAATAACATGTGAATTTATAAATATGAACATAATGTATGGAAAATGAATACAAGATAGTTTGGGGAAGGAGGGAAGGAGCACATGTGGAGAGTCTTGAAGGGAACTAGGGATTCCGATGGGACAGCTACGAGGCACCATAGTGCATAGAGAGCCAGGCCTGGAGGCAGGAAGACTCATCTTCCTGAGTTCAAATCCAGCCTCAGACACTTCCTAGCTGTGTGATCCTGGGCAAGGCACTTCACCCTGTTAGCCTCAGTTTCCTCATCTGTAAAATGAGCTGGAGAAGGAAATGGAAAACCACTCCAGTTTCTTTGCCAAGAAAACCCCAAATGAGGTCAAGAAGAGTTGAACTGAAAAACAACTGAAAGACAACAACAAGGGATTTCGAGGGGCAGAGATGAAAAGAGAGAGCAATCCAGGTGTGAGGGACAAACCAGTTCAAAGGCATAGATCCAGATGAAGTATCACATGTAAGGAACAACAAGTAGGCCAGTGTAGATGGCTCATAGAGTACATGGAAGAGAGTCATTAAACATTTATTAAGTGCTTGCTAAGTGCCAGGCTGTATGCTAAAAGCTGAGGATACAAAAAGGCAAAAACACAGTCCCTACTCCCAATGAGCTCACATTCAAAGAGAGGAGATAATATACAAATAACTATGTACAAAAGACACATACAGAACAAATTGGAAAAAAATCAAGACAGGGAAGATGGGATTTCAGCTGAGACTTGAAGGAAACCAGGAGAGCCAGGAAGTGGAGATGAGGAGGGAGAACATTCCAGGCATGGGAAAGAGCCGAAGGAAATGCCAAGAGTCAGAAAATGGAATGCCTTCTTCAAAGAACAGCCAGGACTGTCACTAGATCAAAGAGTATTGGGGGGAGGAGAAGAAGGAAGGAAAATGTAAGAAGACTAGAAAAGTAAGAAAACTATACACCATGACTTCCAACCCCTCTGCCCTATTACTCCTGTACAAATCCAAAGGTTATGAAGGGCTTTGAATATCAAAAAGAGGATTTTATATTTGCTCCTGGAGGTAATAGGGACCTTCTCGAATTTATTGAGTAGGGGTTGATGTGGTCAGACTTATGCTTTAGGAAGATCAGTTAGGTGACTGAATGGATGATGGATTGGAGTGGGGAGAGACTTGAGGCAGGTAGATCCACCCACAAGCTATTACAATAGTACAGGCCTGAGGGGATGAGGTCCTGCACTAGAAAAGGGCAGGGCCCGAGTATTTTAAAGATATTGCAAAGATGAAATCAACAGACCTTGGCAACAGCTTAGATCTGGGCAGGGGGGTGGGAGGAGTCCAGGATAACATGGAGGTTTTGAGCCTGAAAGACTGGGAGGATGGTGGTACCCTCAACAATAACAGGGAAGTTAGGAAGAGGGGAAGGTTTGGGGGAAAATGAGTTTAAGTTGTCTAAAAGACATCCAGTTGGATATGTCTAATAGGCAGTTGGAGATGCAAGAGACTGGAGGTCAACAAAGAGGTTAGGGCTGGATAAGTAGATCTGGGAATCATCAGCATAGATGCTAATTGAATCCATGGAAGTTGATGAGATCATCGAGTGAAATAGTCTAGAGCAGAGGTTCCCAATCTTATTTGGCCTACAGCCCCCTTTTCAAAGAAAAAAAAAATTGCTCAGCACCCCCATGGAAATCTACTTTCTTTAACCCTTCAACAGTTTTTTCTTTAAATTTGTGTCATTTCAAAAAAATATAATATATATATATATTTTAAAATGATACATCTTAAATTTAATAATTTATTGTAAATTTGTGGTTCTTTTCCTACACTAAAATTTTGACGACATAATATTACGTCACATATCTGTATAGTGTCGTATCACAAACAAGTCATTACACACACATATACCTGTATACATGCTGGCTTGCCTGCCAAAAATGCTTGCCTGCCAACACTTGCTTGTTAAAACCTGTCAGTGGACTTGACCACTGATTGGTTATAGCTTGCATTTTGCATGTTTGTTTGGAAAATAATGTAATCACCATGACTTTAACTCTGTTAGACAACAGATGAAAAATGTATGAAAGGTTTTTCAAAATTTTCTTATCTTTTCTTCTTTCCCTATGCTTCCACTGCCCCCTTATTTTTATTCAATGCCCCCCAGTTGAATCCAAGGCTACTACTGCCCCCTAGGTCATTCCAGCACCCACCAAGGGGCAGTATCACCCACTTTGGGAACCTCTGGTAGAGGGAGAAGAAAAGAGGACCCAAGACAGAGCCCTGTGGAACACCCATGGATGAAAATCCAACAATGAAAACTGAGAAAGAAATAGTCAGATACGTAGGAGGAGCACCAGGAGAGAGGGGTGTCATGAAAACCCAGAAAGAAGAGAATATCAAGTTGAAGAGAGTGATTGGCCAGTGTCAAAGGCTGCAGAGAGGTCAAGAAACATGGTAACTGCGAAAAGACCATGATATTTGACAATTAAGAAATCATTGGTAACTTTGGAAAGAACAGTTTAGATTGTATAATGAGGCCAGAAGCCAGACTGTAAATATTTAAGAGAGTGAGAGGAAAGGTAGTAGAGGCACTTATTTTAGACAGCCTTCTTAAGGAGTTCGGCCCCCAACATGAGGCATGATAGCTAGTGGTAATGGATGGCTCAAGGGAGAGTTTTCTGAGGATGGGGGCTACATGATCATGTTGGTAGGGAGTGAGGAAGCAGGCAGTAGATAGGGAAAGATTAATGATAAGTGAGAGAGAGGGAATATTAAAAGGGAACAATCTGCTAGGGAAGATAGAATAGAATGGGATCACTCATACATGGAGAGGGGTTTGCCTTAGCAAGGAGAAAGGCCAGCTCATTTTGAGAGATGAAGAAGACAGTGACAGAAGGCATCTGAGTGATATGAATTGAGGAGGAGGGGAGAAGAGGCATCTTTTGGAGAATGGCCTCAATTTTTTCAGTAAAATACGAGGCAAGATTCTCAGCTAAGAACTTTGGTGGGGGCCATAGGAGATTTAAGAAGATAGTGAATTAATTAGGGAGGGGTAAAGGGATTGCCTTGCAGCAGCAAAGACCCAGTTGAGGTTATGTAGCATAAATTTGTAGTGGACCCAGCTAGTGGGGTTTTGTGATTCACTCCAGCTTCCTTTAGGAGTACATGCATAAAAGTGAAGGCAATGAGTGGACAGTGGGAGTGATTCAAGGCTGAGGCTTGGGGCAAGATCATTGATAGGATAATGAGACAAGAGATTCAAGAGGGTAATGTTACTAACGGTTGAAGATGGAGAAGGAGGCTAGTAGCTTGTACAGGAGTAATGGGGCAGAGGGGTTGGAAGTCATGGTGTATAGAAAGTCAGAGGGTGAGGTGGAATAACAATAAATTGAGGTCAGATAAAAGAAGTTAGAAGACTGGAAAGGTAGAAAAGGGAGAGGTAGTAAAAGGCTTTAAATGCCAAACAGAGGAGTTTATATTTGATCTTGAGGGTAATAGGGAACCATTGGAATTTGGGTGGGGAGGGTGAGATAGTAAGACCTTTGCTTTAGGAAAATCACTTTGGCAGCTATGTGGAGGACAGATTGGAGTGGGGAGAGGCTGGAAGCAGGGAGAAAATAGATACTATTTCAATAGTCCAGGCAAGAGATAAGGAGGGCCTGGGTGAGTGGAGAGGAGAGGACATACCCAAGAGATATTACAAAGTAGAAGCAACACAATATAGGGATGGATTGGGCAGCTAGGTGGTGCAGTGGATGGACAACTGGGCCTGGAAACAGGAAGACCTGAGGTCAAAACTGGCTTCAGATACTTAACGAGCTGTGTGACCCTGGGTAAATCACCTCACTTCTGTTTGCCTCAGTTGCCCCATCTTTAAAATGGGGATAATTATAACACCTACCTCCCAGGGTTGTTGTGAGGATCAAATGAGATAATGCTTATAAAGCGCTTAGCACAGTCCCTGGCACATGTGGGGTGAGAGTGAGTCACTGAGGATGGCACAGAGGTTACAAATCTGGGTGATTGGGAGGATGGTTACACCCATGTGGTTATGACAATAATAGAAGTTCAGAAGAATGGTGCATTTTGGGGGAAAGAGAATTAGTTCTGTTTTAGACTCATTGCATTTGAGATGCCTACTGAAAGGTTGTCCAGTTCAAGGTGTCCAGAAGGGGATTGGTGATGAGTGTGTAGCTCCAGAAAGAGACCAGTACTGGCTATGTAGACAGAGAATTCTCTGCATAGAGACAATAACCCCTACCACTAAAGTGAATTGAATGAGGAGAATGGCTTCCACATTTACTGTGCTTGAGTCTCTCTTAGAACTGAGAATTCATTCCCTTCCATAGGGAGCTGTAATGGAACTGTGCTAGATTGTAGTATAGTCAAATGGTCTGGCCAGATTTGTGTTCATGTCTGTGCTATTTAACAGTTTCATCGATGACTTGAATAAAGAGTAGACGATATGTTTGTCAAATGTGCAAATGAGACAAAACTAGAAAGGAACAGATCTCAACATACTAAAATGTGGGGCCAAATCTAATAAGTTATATTTATTTGGGTTAAAACTCAGCATCACAAGCACAAGCTGGAAGAGGCATGGATGGGTAGCCAGCATTACGTCTGAGAAAGATCTGGGCGTCTCAGTGGATTATAAACTCAACATGAGTCAATAGGGTGGCATGGTAACCCCAAAAGCAAATTTTGAAAGACTCCACTGAGAGGCATAATGTGCAGAGTGAGGGTGGGTGATAGCACCACTGAGCCCTAGTCAGCCCTGGTTAGACATCTGGAGTCTCTTTTTTCAATTCTTAGAGTGTTCAGAAGAGCAAGTTGAGATGATGAAGGACCTCAAGATCATGTTATCTACCAAAAGCAGTTGAAGGAATTGAGGATGATTAGCCTTAGGAGGGACATAAGAGCTATCAACTTTTGGAAGAGCTATCACAGGAAAGCAGGATTAGACTTATTCTGCTTGGCCTCAGAGGGCAGAACCAGGAATGATGGGGGAGAAATTGCTGGGAGGCAGGTTTCAGCCCAATTTCTAAACTGTTGGAGCTTTCCAAAACTGGACTGGGCTGCCTCATGAGGTAGTAGGTTCCCTGTCACTAGACCTCTTCAAGCAAAGGCTAGATGGCCACCTGTTAAAGATGTTATAGGCCTTAATGACCTCAGAAGTCTCTTCCAACTCAGATTCCGAAAGCCCCTCCTCCCTCTCCTTCAGAGTTGTCAACTCAGTAGTGTCCAGAGTAATGCTGGTCCTTTTCTCACCTAGACACCTAAAACACATCCTTTGACTATAAAACCTCAGAGGTAAGGGTGGAGATAGGGCATCTCAGGCATTGTGGCCTCGACTACTAGGTCTTCTGGTAGTAGGGGTATACATGGGTTGGATGTCATCCCAGCTCTGGGCTTCATCATCAAAACATTGAAGGAGCTCTGGAGCCCTATGAAGAAAGACCATGACTAGCATGTAAACATCTCCCTCAGCCAAATCGGCAGCTTTGGGTTCATCATTAAAATACTGGCGGTACAGATTACCAAGGCTGTAGCTCTTGCCATGGCTTGCCCTGGTGCTGTGGTGGTGGGCTTTATCCAAGCCCCTCAGTGCAGGGAGCGTGTCAAGGCAGAGGGTCCCTTCAGGCATGTCTGTGCCCAGACGCTGCAGCTCAGTCCGAAGGAGGGGAAAGTCATAGTCAAAACCGTTGTGGGCAACTAGGCAGATTGGAGATTCCTGCCGCTTCAGGAACTGCTGAAGGGTTTTGATCACAGTGCTATCAAAGCCTGGCTTGTGATTGTTGGTTAGGTTTTGATTATTCAGGCCTGTGATCTCTGAAGCCTTTGGGGTGAAGTGTCGCTCAGGGCACATGCACAGGGTCAGCTTATCTAGGACCCGAGGCAGTTGTAGGGCACCAGACTCATCCCTCTCTGGGTGCTCCAGAGAGAAGCGATGGATGGCAAACAAAGAGATCTCTGCAATTTCAGGATAAGCATTGGGAAGGCCGGTGGCCTCCAAGTCCAGGAAGACGAAGGTCTCACACCTTGATGATTCAGCCATTGGGAGGAATCCAGCACAACTAGAGCATGTAAAAATATTTTTTTTAAATTGCATATTAAGCCTTGTTAAAAAAATAAACTTTTTTAAAACTCAAAATTAAGAGACCTGGGTTCTAGTCCAGGTTCTGACACCCGTGCTTATTGTGTGATATTGGGTAAGCCCCTTCCCTTGTCTAGGCCTCAGTGGTCCCCTTGGTAAAATGAGGAGTTTGGGTTAGGTGATCTCTTCCAGTTGCAAAAAGTAAAAATTCTCCATGTTCACCTTTGCCCTTTTGCTCCCATTATTCTCCCCTTGAATTTTCTGATTCTCTTCCTCTTCTTGTCGAAATCCTCAGAATCTTATTTATTCTTCAGGGCCCAGCTCAAGTACCACTCTCATCTGGAGGTCTTTAGCAACTACTGTGGTCCTCATGCTTCTCTACCTCCTCTGCCCTCCTGGGGAGGGCACTTATAGGCAGAACCATACAGTATATCATTAGCTAGTTCTCAAATTGCTTCATATGTTGCAGTTGGGTCTTTCCAGCCTGATTAGAAGCTCCTTGAGGGCAAGGACTAGTTCATTTTGATCTTGGTGTTGCCAGCACCTTGGACAGTGCTGGGCACACAGGAGGCCTACTGCTGCTTACTTTCTTTAAACTTTGCAACACGGCACACCTATGGACCAGCCATAGTATACACTTAAGAATTCAAAAATGCTAATTGATTCAATGACCAAAGAAGCAAGAAGCATTTATTAAGCACCTACTTTGTATGCTGAAATACATGTACAAGGACTATGTAGTCCTTGCCCTCAAACAGTGCTTCTATGGGGGCTTGGGAATACAATACTTCCACAGATAAATAAATACAGGATGTAGACAAAACAAATAAATGCAAAGGGATGGTGAGGGGAGAGGGGGAGGACTAGAAACTTTGATTGTGAAGATGGCCATCAACACAAAAAAATTTGGATGCAGAGAGGAGGTAGCTTGCCCCATAACTAAGGAGTGGCAGAGCCTCGATTGGTCATGGATAGAGCCCTGTATAGACTCATCTTCTCTTTCCAGGGGTCCTTATTTCCTTAACCTGTCTGAGATTGCTGAAGATGCATCTGTTGCATATGCTCCTGGGAGTCTCCAGCGGTACACAGTAGGGCAGGACCTTCCTCAGCGAAATGTTCCCAAGTCAGCAAACAATGCCAGAGGTACTTTTGCATCATGCACATTAATACTACGTAGACCAGACAGAAGACACTCACACACCATTGGTGGTCCCTGCATCACACTGTGAGAACTACTACTCAATCATTTATCACTATGCAAGGGGCCTGGACCTTGAGAAACAGAGACTGAATGCCTTCAGAACTTGCTCCACCAGGTTGGGCATTGAGTTTACTCTGACTCCTGAGTGGGTGGTAAATGTGGGACACTCCACCTGGGATAGGTGGGCATGGATCAGTCTTTTCTGTGACTCAGCTGGTTTGGGGAAGCCTATAACTGACCTCTGGAAGCTTACTCAGGTGGAGGCTGCTTTGGGAGGTAAGGGTAACTCCAACTCTTTCTTACCAGATAGATTCTAAGTACCTATTGCCTATGGTCTTCTGTCTTCTATCCTACCAGCAACCAAGAGAACTACTACCTAGTCTGGCACAAGGAAGGTGGGGGATAGAGATGGAAAATGGCTCAAGAATGCTACACATCCCTACACATCCCTCTACCACCACCACTAATTCATTACATATTTTGGTATCACCCCCACAGTGAGGACTAACTTCAATTTCCAATGAAGTGGAGATTCAATTCTCTTCAATTCAATTCAAGTCTCAAGTGGACTTCAATTCTCTACTTCTCAGCTTCCCTTCCTCCTCCTCCCTCTCTTCCTTATAGACCACAAAGACTTAAAAAGAAAAAAGCAACCACTAAGCATATCACCAAAAGAACCATCACCAAAGAAACAATGAAGGCACACCAACCTACTGATTCTCCTTCCAGTGCACTTGACCTTCTGTGTCCCTCAGGTTGAAAGACTACAATATACTGCAGTAGATGGGCCCTACTCCCCTCAACGAAGGTGGAACAAGCATTCCCAGAAGCCAAGCCTGAAAGTGGGGCCTAGTATGTAAAGGGCTATCTCAAGAGTTAACTTCATATTCTATTGCTGACTCACTGCACTGCCCTGGGCAATAAACTGGTTTGCCCACCTGGGAATGTGGCCAAGTTTCACCCACAAAGGGTATGGCTCCAGAGATGAAAGGCACATGGGGAAAAGGGTCCCTGAGCTGGTCAATGGGCTCACCATCAAGGAGAGATTATGTGAGTGCATATTAGAAAAATTGGAATTTCTGAACCCAAATGCTTCCACTGGGCTAAGTCTTTACGATAGCTGAATTGGGATAGCTGAGGATGTAGATAAATTTGACTTTCTGAAAATGCACATGATCGAAAGGCAAGAGGAAAGAAGACAGTAAGAGGCTCAGGACAAGCCACAAAAAAAAAACCATTTGGAATACCCAGACCAGTTTTGATATTTAAGATACTTTTAGTATCACTGAAGAGTTACAGGATCACAGAGCTGGAAGGGACCTTAGGGATCATACACTCCAATCCCTCAATTCGACTGGAAGATCTGAATGATAGCTCCTCACAGCATCAGGCCTGACAGAGACTTTAGCAACCAGATCTAGTCCAAACCCCTTGTTTTACAGGAAAGGAAGTTGAGGCACAGAAAAAAGGAATTGGCTTACCCAGGGTCTCAAAGTAAAAGCTCTCAAACATCTAAGAAATATCTTCTTTAATTTAATACATACATGTTACCTATTGATTCATGCTGACAATAAATTAAATGCATCCCAAATATCAACATGGGCAAAGAGATGAACTGAAAGCCAGTTGGAAAAGGGGGCATTGCAGGCTCTTCACTTCCCCAGGAAGGTAGGTTTGAGGGAAGTGGAAGTAATAGTTTTCACCTTTATGCATCCCCAAACATTTCACACCCAAGATACCACTTACCTACAGCAGTATCATCTACAGGGGTAGGGAACCTGTGGCCTTGAGGCCACATGTGGCCTTCTAGGTCATCAAATGTGGCCCTTTGATTGAGTCCAAGTTTTACAGAACAAATCCTTTTATGAAGGGGGATTTGTTCTGTGAAGTTTGGACTCAGTCAAAGAGCCCCCCTTGAGGACCTAGAGGGCCACATGTGGCCTTGAGGCTGCAGGTTCCCCACCCCTGGACTAGAACAAAGCCAAATGATAAAGCCCTGGATCTGAAATCACAGGATCACAGAATTTGGGAAGAGAAGGAACTTCATCTCACTGAGTCCAACCTCCTCATTTTACACGGAAGGAAATCAAGGCTGTGCTATAGGAAATGATTTGGTCAAGGTCATACAAGTAACAAGTAGCAGAGCTGGTATTTGAACCCAGGTCTCCTGACTCCAAATCCTGTGTTCTTTCCACTACACTACCCCCCCCCCCCCAGCTCTAGTCAGAGGCCCTGGATTCAAAAGTCAGATCTGCAACTTTTTACCTACATGAACTCCCCCTCTGGGCCTCAGTTTCCTCCCCTGTAAAATGAAGAGGTAGAACTGAATGGCCTCTGAGTGCCCTTCTACCTCTAGATCTGATGACAGCCCAGTTTCAAAGGAATATTAAGAAGGAAACATCTATTTCTCACTGAAGGCTACTCCTACTTACAGAAAGTGGCTCCTCTGAAATCTTCCCTTGAGGAAGGAGAGTTTTAAAATCCGGGGAGCTAATTAACAACTAAGAAGACAAAAGTGAATTAGCCACCCACATGCTTGATGAAGGGGAAGAGGACTTACCTGTGGAAGACTATTCTGCTGACTTTCTGTCCTTCTAAAGCAATTCTTTGAATCAGTTTATAGGGACAAGTTCAGAGAAGTCTTATAACGATTAGTTGCATGGCCCCACCCCCTGTGTCATCACCAGCAGAATCTCTTGGGAAATTTAGTCTTTAAAAGACATTATGAATACCAGTGCTTTAAGAATGACAGCTCTGCCACCCCCTTGTTTTTATTTAAATGAGCTCTCTCTGACTCCCAAGTAAGATGGAAAGGAACGTGTCATGTTGTCAGATGAAAAATCAAGTGTGGCCTTACATATTAAAAATGATAAGATATTAAAAGCCCTCATCAAGGAGGTCTAAGTGTGACACAGCCTGGCTGTGTAGACTTACATAAGTCTTTTTACTCTCTGGGCCTCAGTTTGACCAACTGCCAAATGAAAGGATTAGAGGAATCAGAAAATATCAGAGTTAGAAAGGGCTTCTGAGGTCATGGAGTCTGACCCATGTCAGGATTGGAATCTCCTATACAAGGCAATGGCTATCCAGTCTTTGATAGAAGAACTCCAGTAATGAGCAAATCATTCTTTTTTAAGAATGCCCATTTCTCCTTGTTAGAATGTTTTTTTCTTCACCTTGAGCCTACATCTATCTGTTTATGACTTTTACTCAGTGCTCTTAGTTCTGCCTTTTAGGGCCAATGAGAACAAGCCTAGCCCAAATTCCACAATGTTTGGTGGCCCCTCTCATGCCACCCCCCACTGAGTCTTCTCTTCTCCATGCTAAACATCCCCAGTTCCTTCAGCCAATCCTCAGAGGGCATGGTCTCCGGCATGCTCATTTGAAATGATTTCTTAAGAGTCCTCGCCAGGTCAAGAAATACAAAAAGTTATGTTCTGTTTGACTGGAGAAGGGTATCACAAAAGCAACTCAGTCAACAATGCTATCTATCCCTTTGAAATCAAAGTACAGAAGAGACTGGAGATGGGGTGGAAGCGGTTTCCTGTAGGGGGCCTAAGTATGTGGCTGGGGGTCACACCTCAGCCAGAAGAGCACAGTAATTCCATGGGAAGAATGTAGGATTTAGCGTCCAAAAACCCTGGTCTGAGGCCCAGAGTCCTGCCACTTAGCTTTGTGGCCTTGGCCAAGCTTGTTTGTTCATCCGTAAAATGGGGGCATTAGTGTATTTCAAGTACATTGTCTACCCTAAGGCATTAGGCAAACCTAAGCTATTTTTCTTCTTTCCTGGATGGCTCTAAAGTCAGTTACTTCTTAGACTTGATTTCTCATTGGTTAATCACTCCATCAATCAACAAGTATTTATTAAGCATCTATTAGGGGCCAGGCATTGTACTAAACCCTGGGGATGCAGAAAAAGTTGAAACAACCCCTGCTTTCAAGTAGCTTACATTTTAAGGGGAGGAAGACGACATACAGATAGAGATTGTTGTTGTTGTTGCTTGTCTTTCATTTTTGAAGAGGACCAATGACATCAGGGGATGATGTCTTGACTTGTGTGAACTGGATTTAAGTGAGGCAGAGTTGCACAAAGTCATCAGCCTCACTCTTTTTCCAGAGTCATTGAAGTCCAGTGACAAGACAATAGTCATGATAACTGGCTATGGCCTGGGATGTAGTGGATGACCTTGGAGTCTTTGATGTCTGACCAAGTGCTCCACCACACCTGTTTCAGCCACCTTCATGGCCCTGGGAACAAATTGTTCTCATCTGGGATGGAGCCAAGATGGCAGAGTGAAAGCAGTGACTTACTTGAGCTCTCCCCCAAACCCCTCCAAATACCTGTAAAAAATGACTCTAAACAAATTCTAGAGCAGCAAAACTTACAAAAAGACAGAATGAAACAAATTTCCAGCCCAAGACAACCTGGATGGTTGATTCAGCGGGGGGCGCACAGGCAAAGACCATGCCTCAGAGAACTTGGAGCAGGCCTCAGAGGACTGAATCACAGGCAGCTGGGCAGTTTCCAGACTTCTCAACCCACAAACACCAAAGACAACTTAGAAGGTCAGTAGGAAAAGCCTGTGACTGTGGTGAAAAAGAAGCTCAGTCCTAGCCCCAGTCCCCTTGAGGCCGCAGGGTGGCGGCTGCTTCCATGGCTCCCAGCCCGCAGACTAAGAGGGAATTGAGTGGCCAATCAGAGGGGGCTTGCAGTGATCTCTTTGTTGGTTCTGAGGCAGGATTCTCTTGTTTTGCTCATGCTTGGATCTGGGTCACAGTTCTGTGTGTTAGTCCTGGGGTGAGTAGGAGCACTGGTGTGGTGGAGCTTGTAGTGGCTGTGGAGAGAGAATCCTCCTCACAATTCCAAGGCAGAAAAGAGTGTTTGTGGTCACTCATAGACCAGAGCACAGGCCAGGAAAGGAGTAAACACCTTGCCCTTGATCATACCACCTTGGAAGAACTGAAAATGTACAGGTCCCTATAAGTATCTCTGAAAAACAGCTTCACAGAACCCCTGAAGCTTGGGACAGTACATTCTCCACACTGGAAGCAGACCCCTACCTTAACAAAGAGTTTAAAACTCAAGTAAATTGACTGGGAACATGAGCAAACTGCACAAAAAAAAGTCAGACCATAGAATCTTTCTTTGGTGACAATGAAAATCAAAACATATGACTAGAGGAAGGCAACAAAGTCAAAGCTCCTATACCCAAAGCCTCCAAGAAAAATATGAATCAGTTCTAGGCCATGGAAGAGCTCAAAAAGGATTTTGAGAAGCAAGTAAGAGAAGTAGAGGAAAAGCTGGGAAGAAAAATGAAAGTGGTGCAAGAAAATCATGAAAAACAAGTCAACAGCTTGCTAAAAGAGACCAAAAAAAAAAATACTGAAGAAAATCACACCTTAAAAAATAGCCTAACCCAAGTGGCAAAAGAGGCCAAAAAACCAATGAGGAGAAGAATGCCTTAAAAACCAGAATTGGCTAGATGGAAAAGGAAGTCCAAAAGTTCACTGAAGAAAATACTTGCTTAAAAATTAGAATGGAGCAATTGGAAGCTAATGATTTTAAGAGAAATCAAGACATTGTAAAATAAAACCAAAAAAATGAAAAAATGGAAGACAATGTGACATATCTTATTGGAAAAACAGCTGACCTGGAAAATAGATCCAGGAGAGATAACTTAAAAATTATTGGACTATCTGAAAGCCATGATCAAAAAAAGAGCCTAGACACCATCTTTCAAGAAATTATCAAGGAAAACTGCCCTGATATTCTAGAACCAGAGGGTAAAATAGAAATTGAAAGAAATTGTTCTCATTTGCCCACTCTTCCAGGGGAAATGCTTGGGGTAGACACCCTCCCCCAATTCACCAATGGATTTAAGGCCTGTCACTTAACCTTAACCTGGTTTAGCCCATCTGCCAAGAGAGTTTACTGGGGTGTGGCTGCTGAGCATGCTACAGCTTCTTGGAGCCACAGGTGAGATATATATTCTATATCATGATATATAATTATATGTCTATAGCTCTATATCTATCTCTATGCATCTATTAAATTATATCTAAAACACAAACAAGGTAACCTTAGGGCTGGGGGAGGGTAAGACACTAGCAACCTAGCAGACCAAGGAAAGCCTCCCTTAGGCAGAAAAATGGTCTGTGATGAAGATACTTGCTACACAAGGGCATAATCAGTGTTAGGGATCAAGACTGATTTTATTGGTATTGGGACCTACCAAGGGAGGAAATTCTCTCTACTAATGCAGATTGGCACTGTCTCTGCAACTTAGAAAGTTGAGTCATAAAGCAGAGGTGTCAAACACACAGCAGCACTCCTGAGTGTGCCTAGACCACACTAAAATGTAATTGGGAAGTATTTAAGAAAATAAATAAAAATACAATAAACCATAGATAACATTACATTTTATAATGAAGTCAAAATGCAGCCAGCAGGGATCCTTATATATAGTGTTAGTGGTCCTCGTTTCTGTTCGAGTTTGACACCATTGGCCTCAACCAGTAAGAAGTTAAGTGACCTGCCCAGAGTCACATAGCTCAAATGTGTCAGAGGTAGGACTTGAAAACCCAGGACTTCCTGGTTTTCGAGACCAGCTGTCTATCCAATTACTGAACTGCCTCTCAGTCAGTGTGAATGTAGAACAAGTACTTAGAACTGGTTTGACAGAAGCATCACAGAAGCAATATCCATGAAGAAATGGCATTTGGAAAAGGAAAATAAGAACAAAACCAGCCAAAATAGTCACCGCTTGACAATGAATATAACATATTGAACTGACTGTCCCCTATTTCTCACACAAAGGGCGAAGAGGGATTCTCTTGTCTTTTTTTGCAGGGGTCACAATTCAACCCTGGGTCCTGGAAGGTTATGGTAGAAGAGCCCCAGTTCTGGAAAACCCAATCTGGCTGGAAAGACTTCAGGTACAGGCCCAGCAATAGACAGGGTATGCCACTGACCATCATCACCCTAGCATTTTTAGAGCCTTATCACCAGGTGGTGAATATTTTTATCTACACCAATTCATGAAATCATCTACTTAGGCAGAGAAGGCTTACACGCTGAATCAGTGCAGGGAATACCCAAGTAGATTCAAGACACCAAGCACCCGGGATTTTAATGTTAGGGGAACTCCTCCTATCCATGCATGTCACAACCTGTCTACCCCTTAGCCTTAAGTCTTGACTTGCCTAAGGCTCAGCGCTTGCTCAACCTCACACGCTGGGTCAAGTGTCAAAGGCAGGATTTGAAACTAGGTCAAATCATCTTTGTGTGAGATTTGGCCAAGAGGAGCAGTAGGGATCAACAAGGTGGGACTCTCCGGTAAGAGTAGCTGCTGTCTTCCACTTTGCCTGTACAAGCAAGCCTACTCTCTCTGCACTGTTTCCAGCTTTCTAAGATACACAGAATTTTTATTTCATTCAGGAACTGTAATGTTGACCCATCAGTCAAGTATTTGAGTGTCTACTGGGTGTAGATAACTGGACCCACTTGGGGGAAGGGCTACACAAACTATGACCATTGCTATCCCTCTCATAGTGTCTGTGGGTGGCATGACCTTTCTCAGGATGTGTCCAAGATACTGAAAGTTTACTTCTTAGAATTTTGTAACTGCAAGCGCCCTCCTCCCTCTGATGGATGCAGCAAATGAATCGATCTTGCTTGCTAGAGAGAATGTACATCTGCAGATGCCCATTCATACACAGTGATAGTCATAATTGAGGCCATAGCCCCCACATCACCATCTTTGTGCACCAGGAGTTTATTCTCCCTTCTCTGTAGCAGCACTTCTTAAACTGTGGGTTGCAACCCCATACAAGGTCACGAAAAATTTGGCAAAAGTAAAAGGTTTCTGAACGTACTACCAAAAATTAATTAATCCGAGGTGTTTCTGGCAGCGCTTGTCCATATTGTACCACAAAACTTCACTGCAGCCTTGGGTCTGAACACACAGCATGCACACTTTGCACTGCACATGACCTCAGGCAAACTACAATCACTTCTAAAGGAGAACCTTTGATCCTGACTTCAGAGAGCAGCCCAAGGCCATCTTCTTGGCAATGGCCATGTGAGTTAGAGGCAGAACTCCCTGGGAAGACTTATGTTCATGTTAATTGGCTGCTATCCTGGCTCCTATTCAAATAGCTCTAATTGCCTGTTATTCTCCTTTGCTTTCACCCCTTGAAGCGGCCAAGATCTGCCTAATTTTATCTTCGTAGACATGTGCCTCCCTGGTTCCCAAACAGTACCCTAGTACCTGAGAAGCCAAGATTTTCCACATGCTATTAAGTTAGCCAACCTTGAGCAGGTGGGGGCTGGGGAAGGAGGCAGGATCCTAACCCTAAATTTGTTTAAATTATGAAAACTTGTTAAGTATTAAGCTCTGGACTTGGTGGAAGTGGAGGAGGAGACACTATTTTCTTTGAAAGTCCACAAAATTGAGTTGTAGAATAATACAAGATAAAGAAACATAAAAAAAAAGACTGAACAAAAGTGACCGAGTCTGGCTGGACCAGTGCCCTGGGATAGTTTAGGTTTGACGGTGGAACAAAATGACACACTCATAGGCTACTCGACAGTTAATAAAAAGATTTTCCCTAGCTATTAGCAGGATGATACTCAACAAGGGTAGGAGGAGAGGACTCCTGGAGTTGATTCAGCTGAGTTAAGCTTCCTCATCTAAGTTGTTCATCTGATCGACCAACCAAATAACAGAGAGCCCCTAGAGCTGTTCCTGGATGCTTTGTAATCAGGTGACAAGGATATGATATCAACGGACTGAGCCTTTATTCCTCTGAGGCAACAAAGACTAGAGAGTAGTCTCAATGCCTTTTAAGGAAAAATTAGCCTAACTTGCATGAAGGCAGGGGTTAGGATATTGCTACTACCACAACTGCTCCTAACTGGGAGTTAATAACCAACATAATTGTAAAAGAGCACTCAGCTTCTTCCTTTGATGAATTCAAGTCACTTAGCTCAAATGAAATACATATCTGTGAGACCTCTCTATAAAAATACTATTTATCATATGGGATGGCACTCCCATGGGAGTGGAAGGGTTACTTGAAATAAATACGGTGATGTAAGAAACAAACTATCAATAAAAACTTATTTTAAAAAAAAGAAGTAGTGGTTACCTAGAGTCAATATGGTTTCATCCAGAACAAGTCATACCAGAATAACCTCATTTCCTTTTTTTGACAGGATTCCTAAACTAGGAGATGATGCGAATGCTGTGAATATAGTTTGCCTAGATTTTTTAGCAAAGCTTCTGATACCGTATCTCAATCTAGTTTTGGGGAAAAGATGGAGAGATGTGGACTAGATGATAACCCAATCAGACCAATTCTGAATGGGTTGAATGTCTGGACTCAGAGTGATTGGTAATGGGATCAATGTGAACATGGCAAGAAGTCTCTAGTGGAATTTCTTGGGGACCTATGCTTGGCTCCTGTACTGCTTAACGTTTGTATCAGGTCTTCCTGACTCCAGGCCTGGAGCTCTCTCTACTGGATTGCCTATCTGCCTCAAATCTGTAAATGATACTTAACACACTGGATAACAATCAGGATCCAAAAGAATCTGGAAGGACTAGATCATTTGGCTGAATCTAATAAGACAAAAGAAAATGGATTTAAATGTTGCACTTGGGTATCAAAAATAAATAGCACAAATATAAAGATGGGAGAGGCACAGATAGGCAGCAGTTCTGAAAGGGTCTAGGGCTTGATGGATCGCAATATGAAGGAGCAGTACAACACAGAAACCAAAAAAGCTAATGTAATTTTGTTCTGCATTAGGAAGGACATAGCTTCCAGGAAGAGTGAGGTGATAAGCATATATCACATCTATCTGACTGGCAAAGATGAAGGGACAGGAAAATTACCATTGTTCAAAGGCCTGTGGAAGGATGGGAACGCTAATGCCATGTTGATGCAAGAGTGGACTTTCAGGCTACTTTGGAAAATACTTTAGGACTATATCCAAAAAGTCATTAACTGTGCATACCCTTTGATCCAGTGATATGACTACAAAGCCTGTACCTGAAGATCAAAAAGGGAAAAGACCCATATTTAAAAATATATTTATAGCATCTCTTTGCATTGTAGCAAAGAAAGTGAAACAATGGTGGTGCCCATCAATTGTGGAATGGCTGAACAAATCACAGGATATGAATGTAATGGAATATTATTGTACCAAATGAAATTATTAAAGTGATAGATTCAGAAAAACTTGGGAAGACTTATATGAACCGATGCAGAGTGAAGTGAGCAGAACAAGAACAATTCATACAACTAATACTGTAAAGCAAAACAACTTAGAAAAATTTAAGAAATCCAACTGATGCCATGAGTAACCATAATTCCAGATGACAGGTGATAAAGCATCCTACAAACTTCCTGACAGAGAAGTGATGAAATCATGGTGCAGAATACTTTTGGACGTAACCAACCAATGTGTAGATTTGTTTTGTTCTTTGGGATAAGGTTGTTTTTTTTTTTTTTCTTTTTTAAACTGACCAGAAGAAGAGGCTGTGCCAAAAAAAAGAAAAGCAGAAAAGAAAGAAAAAAATCATTTTTTACAAAATATGCACGAGGACAGAAGACAGCAGAAGGAGACAAAGATACACAAGATCACTTTGAAACTAAGGTGGTGATTTTATTAAATGCTTCTTAAAAAGTAAGGTGTACACAATTCAATGTGCTGTTTCACGTACAATCCTCTTTTTTCTGTGTGGACCTTGTTGGTGCTTCTCAAGTTCCTATTGACAAAAAACAAAAATTACTTTTAAAAAAGCAAACAGAAACTTGTCTCATGACCAAAGTCTTCCCCCTCATTTCCCAAACACCAGCGGCAGCCAAATCCTAAGAAGCTGGGGAACCAGGGTATAGACACTTAGCTTTCGCCCATACATTCAAGAGATGTCCAAGGACTGTCTTGGAAGAGCTCATATTTCCGTTTTAACTCTTTCAATTTTTCAACTGTGGGTGGGAAGAAGAGAGAAAAAAGCCAAGAAGTTGCATGAGTATATGATTCTCGGGAAACTCCTCTCATTTTCATCAGGAACCTGTCCCTTTGATCATTGCCCCCCAACTGCCCCAAGACGGGCTCTTCTCCCAATGCCTAAAAACATGCTCAGAGCTGCCCTGAGAAACCAAGCCCCAAACAAAGAAAACGAGCTTTGCCATGGACCCCGACGCCTGTTCAAGCGATCTTCTCACACCAACCTGCTGAATTTGAGAAGGACAGACCTTTGGTGCTTCTAATCCCCCACTGACTGCTCCAAGAGCCACCATTGCACTGAAGCTGCCCTCTCTAAAGTTCACTGAGGATCTTTTCCTTTCTTAAATCAAAGGGCCTTGCGCTCAAGTCT